GGCGGCTCGCATTTTTGCTCCGTGCCTGGCGAAAACGATGACGACGACCCGAAAGTCTCAACCTTCGCTGCCCACGGCTGATTTCACATTTTCCCGTATTTTTGGCTGAACAAACATTTCGTGTGAAAGTTTGTCTTATACATAAAAAAGTCACTCTAACATGTGGGAAATTGAACTCAACAGACAGAATTAACAAGGAGACCAAACTGAGGTTTTAATCATCCAACTTGCTTCTTTCACAACTATAATGTATTATATTAAAGAGGTTGTGGAATGCTGAAAATCGTTTTGTTTTTTATATTGTAGAGTAGACCCATATATAGCATAATGACAAACTCCCATTCTTTTCTAATGTGCGTTTATATGTTTATAAAACTGAAATTCATCGAGTAATTTGTTGGTCGGCGAGCGCATAATTGAAATCAACAGTCGTCGGGCTCTTCTTGAAATCAAAAAAGGCGTGACGTAATAAACAGGACTCGTTTATACAACGACTGTTTACTGCTGCCCAACCCGCCCCGTCATACGTCAGCACGTGTGACTCGCAGTCAAGCAGTGAGAAAATCAACATTTTGTAAAAGACTCGCGGAGATTGATATTCCTTCCCATTGCTTAATTTTTGGATGAGTATATTGAACAAGGACACAGTGACCTCTGAGCTGTTCTTCCGTATAAATTTGAGCCCCAACTGCCCGAAAAAGAGACCAGCAAAAACACGGATACTGCAACTGGCCAGCTGAAAACGCCAGACAACACGGCTCTGATGGGTGGTAGGTCTGCGACGTTTGCGTAAAAAAACAGCTGTGTTTTATCCAAGGACTAAAAGTATTATGTTCATGATAACATTTTTAGATGAGCATCAACAGTCCTACCGCAACTTTCTTCGTGATTTACAGACAATCTCAAACGTTATTCCGGTGAATATTCAGTCCAAAGAGACGACAAATCGTCAGGTTGTTTTCGAATGATACGCGTACGGCACGCATAACGCATCACGGCAGTGGATGTGGTCGACCGTGTCCAGAACTAATGTTGTACGGTTAGCAGCGTCGCGGGCCCCGGTCAAGTTCCTTGCGTTGCCTGGTGCTTTTTATGTATACGTTCCCCACAAAAAAATCAGTCCTCTTCTCTTTTCTTTCCTTGTGCATTTTAACCCTTGTTTTAACATCCTGAAACGATAATTACGAATTTACTTGAATTTTGAAATTGTTAACTTTATTGTTTACCAAAAAAAGCCGTAAAACAACGCCAGGAGACCATGGAGGAAGGAGGAGACCATGGGACTACCGCTTCACCTCAGCCTGTAAACGTGGCTACAAAAAAAGTACAATTCATAAATCGTAGTCATGCTCCGTTCATGAAACAAAAATCTCTGGACTTACGACATGTTCGGGATCCCGGTTGAAAACAAAATTCACTGGTCCCGAAATTTAACGTGCACTATCATTATTTTCAGTACCTAATGAAGACTTTATTCAAGAAATTCCAGTGGCAGAGAATTTGTCATTCGATCAAAAGAAGTTCTAGGGAAAATAGAGGCCTGTCACATTAATCAGCACTAATGTTAAGGAAAACTACGCGGTCCTTTTTCTACGCATTTACCTTCAATTTGTGTGTGTGTCAACGCGTGCGCGTATGCTGCGCAGATAATGGAGGGTCGAGGATACATTTGAATACTCCTAGAACTATGAGGCTCCCGTGGAGCCTCATAACATAGGTTCAGAACCCCGCAAAATTGTTGTCAGCACAAAACACTAATTAAGTACAAAAACGTCCATCCCAACCAAGCTTTTTCCCACAGAACCGCTGCACAGTTTGCCCCTAAACTCCGTACAATACCTCATGACATACTCACCTTATGTGCACCCAACAAACATCGGTGGATTCTGTCTGTTTTCGGCAAAAATGATGAAAAATATGCCCTTTCCGCACTGAACCAACCTAACACTTAACGAGCACGCGCGCAGAATGATCGCAGTCATTTTCGGTTCGATCGCTCGGAGCGCGCCGCGGGGGGTATGGTGTAGGAGCGGAACGATAGTATGCGCATGCCTACAAGTGCAAGTACGTACCCCCCACGGCGCGCTCCGAGCGATCGAACCCGAAAATGACTGCGATCATTCTGCGCGCGTGCTCGTTTCAAGTGTTTATTTTTTATAATTTTAATGACTCGGTCCACTTATTTTAGAAATAAGTTTTCGCAATAAATGAAGATCAAATAAGTTACGAAGCTCATGATTGCTATAGCTCCTTCCGCGAATTCGGCGAACTCCGCGATCATCGGCCAGCTGCCAGAATCTCTCCAGAACAATCTCTTGTTTGTCACCACTGGCAATTCCCAAAAACTCAACGGCTTTTGGTTTTCCACATCTTCGGATTTGTCAATTACATCTAACTAAAAAGGAACAGAAAAGTAAATGGTAAGAAAAGTACAAGGTACGAGTCGTCCCGGGTACGAGTTGTCCCAGGTCACAAATTTGGGGTACGAGTCGTCCCGGGTACGAGTTGTCCTGGGTACGAGTTGTCCCGATACCTTTGTACTCGTACTCGGCCCGTACTTGGACTCTGAAAATCTCGAACTCGGATTTTTGGCCCAGGACTCGACTAAAAAGTACTCGGACTCGGCCCGTACTCAGCACTGTGTGTACTCGGGAAAACTTAGTACTCGAGTTTTGGTACTCGACTACAACATTGGGCAGCATTTACCAGATTTTCTCAACAATACGTGTTTGTAGCTGCGCAATGCCTAAACTAATTTTGGAATGCCATTCTGCAATCGTTGCCTGATTCCTGCTTCGCAATGCGGGTATATATATGGACATTAGTAAACAACAGACAGAGTCCAAATAAACCTTAGACCATCATATAAAAATCACAATCCTTTACAATCGCTTTTTGATGGCTTAAATGAGGCCTACACAAAACTCCAAATGAAAAGCTCCAAATGGTACATGGAACTACATACACAAAGAACTCAATCTAGACCATTTATTACAGATCAAAGAATGTGCTTATCATGGTCAGTGGATACTTTACTGACCCTGGGTGGAATTATTCAATACACACCATCACACATGTTTAAATACATCAACATTCACTACGAACAGTATCATGGCTAACTTTCATTCCATACATAATTATGTTTTTAACACAATAAATTACCAAATAAACCAAAACAAAAAAGAGAAGAAAACCACTACAAGAAGGGCCAATATTGCCTTCCATAGTACAGACAACAGTTAATATTTACCACTGAGAAAGGAACACAAAATATATAAGTAACCCTGTTTTACAACACAGGACTAGAATCACATGATACGGCAACATCATCCTTCCCCGCAGCTACCAGGTCGCACAATGAGCTGCTGGAACAATGAGCTGGTGTACTGCTACTCTTATCAATTTTCTAAATACATGTATGTCTCTTATGCTAGACATTTCTCTTATTTGTATTTACTTTTAAGGTACACCTTTTTTAATTTGCTTAATCTTTTTTATAAGAACCAGCTCCCACAGAAGTTTCTTTCTTTTTCTTTGGCACAAATTTGGCCATGGCATGTGATGTCATTTGAAGGTGAAACTAGTTGAGGTTCTGTGAATTGAAAACTATAAACCTCAATATTTTGTAAATATTCCATCAAGCAGAAGTTTATTTTATTGGCGAATTTGTGAAAAATGGAATTTTATTTCATAATTGAGTTGTCACAGTTTTATCAATTATTCCTTCTAGTCAGGTGGCTCAGACCCAATTTTTGACGAGATCGCGATCGACTGGTCCAAAGCATCAAACTTGGCAGATATATTCTTATAGCCCTAGCGAAGACATTTAGAAGGGGTGACACCTGAAATTCTTTTGGGGAAGGGCGCCTAATTTGCATAAATCGTAAATACCTGCAGTGTAATATATTTGTTCCCATATTTAGCTATATTTTATATTTTTTTTATTTTATGAGAAGTTTATTTTGGTGATTCTACTTACACATCCTTACTTCAATAACATTTTCTAAATAATGACTGAATAATTATGAAGACATAGAAACAATCCAAAATGGCTACCATTATACCCTAGAGTTGCGCACATTAACCTTATCTCCAGATATCATCAAGTGGTCTTGCCAAACCTCAGTATTGATGAGCTTCAAATTCACCAAGTTGCTGTCAGTTACCCTTTTAAAACTTTATGGAAAATCATGTGAACTGTGATAACATTGCGATATTTAACCCAGAAAACAAAACGTGGGGACTTAAACAAGTTGAAGGAAATTCCCAAAATTATTGGCAAGAAAATTGTTTGACGTAGATACAATTATTGTAAACAAAAATAATAATCTCTTACATTGGGGATTTCCTTGAACTTGTTCAGGTCTCCCACGTTAGGCAACCCTTTGCCTAATTTTTAGCCCAATTGGCATACACCTCATCCCCCCCCCGCCCTTTTGTGGTGCTAAATATCAAGATTTTATCATTTTTCACATGATTTCCCATTGATTTTTGTTAAGGTAGCTGTGCCACTAAGTAACTTTGTGAATTTGAAGCTCATCAACACTGTGGTTTGGGAAGACTACTTGATGATATCTGAGTAAAAGGTAACTATAGGATATAATGGTAGCCATTTTGGATCTTTATTATGTCCTCATAATCATCCAGTCTGTGATATGCTTTAGAAACGTTATTTAAGTAAGGATATGTATAAAGTAGAATCACCAAAATATACTTTTCCAAAAAATAGAAGAAAAAAAACAAATATACCCAAATATGGGAATAAATATATTACATGGCATTTATTAACGAATTATGCAAATAAGGCACCCTTTCCAAAAGAATCTCAGGCGTCAACCTTTGTAGGTAACTTCTTTAGGGCTATAAGGATGTAGCTGCTAAGTTTGGTGGTGCTTTGGACCAGTCGGTTACAATTCCGACCATATGCCACCGGACTATTCTAGAATAGGGGGAATTTAAATTGCCCAAAACCCAACAAGAAATTTAAACTTTGTCCAGGATTTGTAGGAGCTGCAGGTCTCAAAGTGTTTATTTTGTTTTCCAGCTAATCTTTGACGTGTAAAAATGCCAACAGACTTTCCCTTTATCGGGATAACCAAATATCTGGCTGAATTGTATCATAAGTGCTGCACAATACCTACCCAGCACTGTCAATTACTCTCATGGGAACAAACTATTTTGTTCCATTTCATAAAAAAACATAATTTAGATTTTTTTTTTAATTTAATAAATTGCAGTACTTTAAAGAGTACTATATTAGAATACAGTTAGTGCAACAGACAGTTCCTTTTTGTTTAATAGTACTATTAAAGCAAAAGGTGGGTTTAAAAATGTGGAAAATCTGTCTGAAGCTTACATACATAACTACAACAAAACAGTACATGAATTCAGTTTCTCTAAATTTATTTACAGTATTATACATGTTTGACAATATATATTACTTCACCAAATTTGTTGATGGAATAAACACTCAACTTGAAACTGACTAGTACTTAATCATATGTTTAGGTACCATTGCATTGGTGTGTGTATATATACTTCCTAGTAAAGCAATTAACTAACTTAAGGTACTGATACTTATACTCGTGTTGGGCTGAAATACTAGAAAACTGAGAAAAAGAGACAAAAAAGCAAATAGAGCACTTATCTCCACTCATATTGTTATTTCAAGGGAGACAAAGTGAGATTGGAGGGGTTACATTCTGAGGCCCAGATAGTGAACTTCGCTGTAAAACTAAGTTTCTTTTCCCGAAAGTCAGTATTATTATAGGCAAAACACCTTCAGTGTCATTCATTCTCAAAATGGTTGGTTTCTGTCCCATTCCCCTTCATTTCCCAAGCATTTATGCAACATTGATTCTACACATGTACATGTATTAGACTTTTGTGACACTGCTCCAACCCTCAAACCAAACAATGTTAGTCTTCCACTTTTTTCTCATAAATTTTGTGTTCTCTTGGCGTTCAGAATGCTATACTCTTCCACATCGGAGTCATCACTCCAGCCCATCCCACCACCATCATGATCAGAGTCCTCTGTATTGACTTGGTTGAAACCCTTCCTTCGGTTGAAGAAGTTGCCCAAGCTGAATTTGCTGTCAGTGGTGGCCTTGTAGCCCGAGCGGATGGTAGTACCTGCTTCACCTCGGAAGAAGCGCATGCGGCCCTGAGCCCGCAGGCGCACAGCAACTGCCACCAGAAGCATGAGGAAGATGGGAACAGCAAGTACAGCCACAATGATGGCCGTAGTGGTGAAACTGGCATCCATGGTAGGATTGACTATGTGCTTGGGGATTTCCTCTCGGCGCGGTTGTCTTTCCTCCTCGACTTGGCTAGAAGTAGTTTCATCTAGTCCTAGACAAGCAAATATGTGAACCTATTTATTGCCACAGGTTTGAATCTGAATGGACAATATGAAAAGGCATACATCTCATTCAATGGAACACCAAAATAATAAAATACAACAGCAATCACAGAAGAATTCGGTAGAAGCCAAATATCACAAATAACTGCTCAGAAATTGGAGAGAAAAAAATCTATTTTGTTAATCCAGTTTCTCTCTACACAAATGATAACCCAAGTGTCACAAAATTTGGACTCTAGTTGTGGCACTGATAGCCTTGCTTGATGAGGCTCTGGAAGTTTAATACTATTGATGAGATATTGTCTTTAATCGATTTGATCGTCGCCCAGAATGCCGGTGTTGTAACAAACAAAAAAAGACTGCATATGCTAAACAAAGACTCTTCTGTGTCGCTTATATAGATGTAGATGTAGGTTGCTAAGCTTGCTACTGCAGCCTTTCTTTCAACGCAATCTCACAAGGGTCCTTACAAGTGGCACTTACAGGTGCCCATTTGTTCCCGGGAAGTATCAAGTGTTAGCTGCCATTTTGTATCTGCCATAACAATGTGAATCTGTGACAAATTAATTTTAAACCGGGTCATCAAGCCCTATGTGATGAAAGTAACATGGTGCTGGGTGGACAGTCCGGTAATCCATTCAACACTGTAACACCTGGCCATGAATATGAATGGAATCATACTACTTTGAGGTCATGGATAAGCTTCACATTTTACTTACCAAGGTTCCTTTGGAATTTCCAGACTCTGTTGGGTCCAATTTCCACGACATAAACATTCTTGGAATCTGGTGCTGCTGCAACATCATGTGGTTGCCCGAACCCCTTAACAACAATAACAAAGTGCACAAATTATTAAGATAAAAAATAAAACTTTTCTAGTTCTAGACTTGCTAAATCAGCGGCCTAATTAAAAAAACAACAACTTTTTATCATGGCCAAAATCTAAGACTGAATTTATATACTAAAGTCAGCTTCTGGTTGGTTGCAGGCACGACAACCGTCCTTAATTTAACTTACGATGGTCTCCCAGACTAATCCCCGCCCCCAATAACTTTGGATCATTTGAAATATGCAGTGGATGGACCGGGAACCAGTCTCTAGGTCTCCCCCAACTCTCCTATTCTGGCCATTGAAGGGGTACTTGTGCATACTTTGAGCGATAATTATACTACCAATTTTTCATCTGCATGATCATCGCGTGACCGACTATCAACCAGACTTAGGTAAATATGGACTGTGTATTGAGTAGATGGTACTTTGTGACCACTGTTGAGAGCCCCAATGGGAAAGGCACCATGTGTGCATACTGGTTCATACACTGCTCTTGACTTGGAAAGAACAAAATTCACTTTCCATGATAGCTTAAGTTAAATTCCAGGATTGTTGTCATGACCATGGGAACCCTAGCACAACTAATTTGATTTTGAATGTGCACAAACCCATGTCTCCTTCATGTCAGCATTAGGTGTATGGCAGTAATAGGGTCAATGGGCCTTATTCAGGAGTCGGCCATATTGAATTGAAAGTGAGATAATATCTAAAACATTTTAACTTGCGAAGAGAAATTAAAAAACCCCTAGAGGTTCGCGTTTGTTGAGTTACAAATGCAGAGTGGTCGGGCAGACAACCTTTTCATTAAACACTGCCCACTTAAGTTATGAATATGTTTATGTAAGAACAAAGGATCACGAAATAACATCCCTTCCAGTGCAATCAATTATTTTGTTACAAAAATGTATCTTTAACGGTGTGATAAAGTTCAGTAAACATTCTATGTGCGCAAAAAAGTTATTTCTGGTTTGATGACGTCATCAGTCAAAACGTTGAGTGAATACTGATGAAGTTCGGAGAGGATAATTGTTCAATGTAAAATTAAAATAATGTATAAAAATATGGGAAATATAATTGTTTGTACTAATAACACCTAACTTCCGGTTTGATGATGTATTAATAACACCTAACTTCCGGTTTGATGACGTCACAGCATTAGAGATCCAAAGGTGAACATTGTAATGGATATCATTATTTGGACTACGAAGATATGGAAGAAATTTTGCTTTGTTTTGATTTCAGGCTAAAGTCTTCATTTTGAATTCAAGTAACTTTGACCTTCCGATAGACCAGGAAGTAAAGGTCAAGCGAGTTCACGTACACGAAAAGAAATGTTTATCAATTAATGGTCTATCTGATTACAAGGTTGGAACATGATTGATCATTTTGTTCAAGAGTTATAAGTGAAGAAGATCATCATTTTTTCAACAAAAATCGCTTGAAATTTGACACCCGAAAACGTCATCGTGACGTCGGAGTCATATGCACCACTCGGGATGTGGGTCGATATATACTGAAAGTTACAAGTTCATATCATAAACAGTTTAGGAGAAAATCGCGGAGAAGTATTGTCCGGAAAAAAAGAAAGAAAGAAAGATTAATCGTAACAACTCCAAAAAGTGGTTGGGTTGTGCCAGACCACTCAATGACAGTAAAATAAGGCTGCATTATGCCTACATAAATAGTCTGGCGCCATCCCATTCAACAGTACACAATTAATGAAATACTCTTGGGAACTTGACAAAAATGGCCAACTCGTGCATAAGGCCCATAGTCCCTTCAAGTCTCTCTTTGTACACGATGAGGGCTCCATAAAGCCTAAATATATGTTTCCCAACTTTGATAACAATCTTTGGTTATAAATATTTACCGAACTCCCTGGTGTCCATGTCTGAAGCAGCATGCCACTGTCAAAGCCTAGGGTGAAACCCTGGACTGGCTCCGCTGAACCACTTCTGGATAAGCCCTTGCCATTCACTGCATACAGACGACCTCCTAAGACAACACATAGGGTCAAGAATGAATTAAGGCATGCACAATGGAATAAGGAAATGCAGAGTTTTAAAGGGACATAGGAACATTGACAATTACCAGAATACCGGTAGAACCTATTGATGAGGTACAAAACCTCGCTCAAAGTGACAAAAGTACTGGTATAAATAACCTGTCAATTATTCTGCCACAAATGGATTTGAGTTCTTTGAGATGTCTTTTTAGCATATTAGTTCTTCTAAAGACCTGCAAGAGACATTTGTATGCAAGGATCCAAACAACTCCAATGATGTGGGCGACTTCACGCCTTACGCCGTGTCTGAATTACACATGGGTCTATGGGAAGTGGCTGCAACCGCTACCGTCATTGCCAGCCGCAGCCAGGTATTTGGACACGGCCTTAGAACCATGTAATGCTAGTTACCAGAAGCATAAACTTTTTCTTATCCTACAATTCTGGTGGTCTAGTATTCGAGCTACTCCCCCTTCATTCTAGTACTTACATGTAGATCTTAACCTACAGTTCAAGCCCTGAATAGAGAGCACAATAGTCAAAGTTACATAGATCAGCCTGAAATTGCCAACAATCAAGGGTGCAATGAGAGCAGAATGTGCACTATACTATAGTGACTACTGGGTAACCTAAGTTTTACCTTAAAAGCTGCAATATTTGGCTCTCTACAGGAGTATAACTGTCGAATATAATGTGGGAAAAGAACCCGTACTGATGTGAAGCAGTGTAATAAGAAATAAAAACATAGTCATGGTGACTGACTCACTTGAAGTTATTCACACATTTAAAAAAGGGAAAACCAATTCCTGGAAAACGAATCACTTCAATGAAAATGGAGTAACTCCTCACCACAGCCACTAATTTGAAAAATTCAAAATGCCTGTGGAAGACAAGGTAATAATCATTCATATCAAACACTCATTTTTTTCTCAATATACTCTTTTTGCCACAAAAAATGGGATCAAATGATAGAACTAAATAAAAAATATGATCCTTTTCAAATTCTCCTTAAAGTAACTTCCAGTCTGATGACGTCATGAATTTAAAATCTGTGGTTAATCAGAGAATATCAATATATATTTTTTGTGTCTGGTATTCCTCACTTAACACTTTTATAATTCATATGTATGTAGTAAAATGCTTCTGCTTTTGAGTTATGTTCGGTTTTTATTGCACTTCCGGTAACAACAGAAGTGAAGGACAAGAAATGTTTGTCACGGCATAGTCTACAACCTCATGAAAAACGAACACGATACTCTATTTAGTTCAAAAGATATAGTGCAAACTAATTTGCCCTTAAATCATGACGTCATGATGACGTTACAAAGATTATAACATCTTCGTCACATGGTACAAGTTCACACTAGGTTTTAAGATCTTGGTTCCAGATCATTCTGACTCACGCTGTACACAGTGAACTGTTTCAAGGGCAAGGGTGATACATTACTGCGAGACAACTACCGTGGCCTCAAGCTGTTGGACCAGATGTTTAAAGTCACTGAGAGGATATTGGAGAGTGTGATAGGTCTCAAGTGACCATCGACCAAATGCAGTTTGGGTTCATGCCTGGCCGTGGCACAATTGATGCTATCTTCATCCTACGTCAACTGCATGAGAAGTACCTTGGCAAACGGAAGAATCTCAATTTTGCATTTGTCGACCTGGAAAAGGCCTTTGATGGAGTGCCCAGAATGGTTCTGTGGTGGTCGCTGAGGAAAGTGGGATTGGAAGAGTGGGTAATCAGGACGATTCAGGCCATGTATGAGAACTCTAAGTCCAGCACACGCCTGAATGACCTGTTTAGTTCTGTGTTCAGTGTGAAGGTGGGTGTGCATCAAAGGTCCGTGCTCAGTCCTCTGTTCTTCATAATAGCTCTGGAGGCACTGTCGCAAGAGTTCCAAACTGGTTGCCCCTAGGAACTGCTGTATGCTGACGATCTGGTGATAACAGCAGAGTCAATCGAGGAGCTCAAACATAATCTCTCTGTCTGGACATCATATCTTGAGTCAAAGGGTCTTCATGTCAACATGTCCGAAACAAGGATCCTCTGCAGTAGGCATAGTGTCCAACATAAAGCTGACGCTGCTATTAAGTGGCCTGTCTGCAAAAAAAGGAGTAGGTAGTAACTCAATCTTCTGCTCCAGTTGTAACCATTGGGTCAAAAAGCGCTGCTCTGGCATCCATGGCAGGCAAAACAAGATTCAACCTTCAAGTGTAAGGTGTGTTATGGATTCCTTCTGTTACCTTGGGGATGTCTTAAGTCAGTCAGGTGGTTGCTTTGACGCTACGACTGCAAGGGTACGTTTGGCCTGGAAGCACTTTGATGATCTGCTACCAGTTCTGACCAACAAGGGGATCTCCCCACATGTCAGGGGTTATGCCTATAATGCTTGTGTGCGTAGTGTTCTCCTGTATGCTAGTGAAACCTGGCCAATTACATCTACCACCTTATCCGCGATGATAACGCCATGATTGGAAATCCATGGCTGAGCTAAGGCCCCAACCTAGTCTGTCTGCTGTTGACGAGGTGGTTCGTCGGGGACGCCTTCACTGGTTTGGTCACATCCAGCGTATGAACGAGGACGGCTGGCCAAGGAAGATCCTCTACTACCAGATCCCTGGCAACTACCAACGTGGACGTATAAAGAAGAGGTGAAGCATGCAGATCGATGCCAATCTGGCATTGAACCGAGTGGAGTGGAGGAAAGCTATCGGACTAAGAGGACATGATCATCATGGAGTCCAACCCTCCAGTTCAGGGAAAGACGGACTATAAACAGATGGATGGATGGATGGATTCCGAAGTAAAAACTGATTGCCAAACCAACAAAAAGTTTATTTGTAGTTAAGTCACTTAACTTCCACCTTAAATGCGATGAATTTATAAAATAATAGCACTGAGTCGAAGGAAGACTTCCTTTTTTGTGATACAAGTGACAGGCGTCAAAGTGGCCTACCCCACAAAGCAGGCAGGGTGAACCCTAGTGGCAAGAACTCTGGGCTACAAAGACAAAAAAAACTGCAATACAACAAACCCCTGTCATTTCATCAGCAAGTACCAACGGGATAGTTCTCAGACTTTGCACGTTATACTACTTAGAACTCGAGTCCAACTTGAAAATATAATATACTTCACATTACTTTTAAAATAATTAAAAAAATTGTGATACATAGTCCATTTCAAAGTTGTTCGGACATTTAGAACTTTTATTTACATTTCAATATGCTACACAGCATTGAGTAGGTATCCTTTTTTTCACAGCAATCCTTCATGGATTAAAACCAAGCATAGGATGTATAGTTTTTGTTCTACGCCATAATTTTTGGCAGGACTGACATGACTGAGGTAAAAGTTTCCTGCACATTCTGCAAATTTGAAAATTGGACCACAATGTTAGCTTACATTACTTTAACATTCTTGATGTTCTTCCCTGTTTTGACAAATGTCATAATGTCGGCAACATGTTTATCCTACCTTTCCATGGACTGTAGCTAATGGCAAATAACCGTGTGCCAAACTCTGGTAGATGATATTCTCGGATGTACTTGCCAGTATCTGCCTGGAAGCATTGTATCCGGCCATTCTCTCTATCAGCCACACACAACTGCTGCTTGATAGGAATGAATGCCAGGCTGTGGGGTATGGAGAATGTGCTGGGCTCTGGGTCAATAGCAAGCTCCCTTCCTGTAGTATCAAGACAAGAATGGCAGGCTCTTTCTAACAGCAGACAAATTCTCTTAGGTATCAGAAATTGTCCACACAGGGATGAATTTAAAACATTCACCACTGCATTCAAGGGAACTCATCTTGTTACCTACATGTACATTTGTATTCACTGAACTTTTGTCTGCAATTTGTTGCAGGTTTTTAGTCTATTAATACAGAAAAACCATGGAAGCAATACCATACATTTATATATATGAATTGAAGCTTTGCATTGTGGATGAGATCAATTATGTTTGCGGGAAACAATATGTGGAAAGAAATCTCTTCTTGGAAGTGTGGTTCTGAAAAGAACCGGTTGGTTGTACCGGTTCTTTTCAGAACCACACTTCTTCTAAGAAGAGATTTCTTTCCACGTAATGTTACCCGCAAACATTATAATTTACCATACATTTAATCAACTGGGGAAAATGAACTGCACATGAAAAATGAGTCTCTACTTAAGGAGCTGTTTATTTATCTTCATCTTCAATACTTGCCTTACATCCTAATCATAGTGTGCATAATTTTGATAAAACTCCCCATAACATGCTTGTCATCATGTAACAATGCACAGTCAGTGTTTGTTTTGTATCTTGATTATGTTTATATACGATGTACAGTGGCGAACAATAGAGAATTTCTGGCGAAAACCACATATGTTTTTGTACGTTCTCATGCAAAACAAATGAGCAGCACTCCTACCAACATAGGATGAGGCTTTCCCCCATTCCAGGATGTATTTCCCAGCTGCAGAGAACTTCATGATCCTACTGTTACAATAGCCATCTGCTACAAAGATGTCTCCAGTTACTGGATCCACGGCCACGTCTGTGGGCTTGCAGAAGTGGTCTTTACCACTGCCAGGCTCCAACTCCATCCCAAGAGTTAGTAAGGGTTTGTCTCCTCCTGCTGGAGGGAACTTGAATATCTGGTGCAGGGCAACATCTGTCAGCCATATGTTACCTTCATGGTCGATAGACAGCCCATGTGGCATGAAAAACCTTTACAGTGTAAAACAAAATATTTGGTTGGCTATGAAAGTCACTTTTGTTTTTAAATAGAACAAACTGACATTTTGTCTTGGACCTCAGCCATAGTAAATAACTGTGAAATACACATGGGCAAAGTTATGCACTGATTCTGATTTGTTTTTCTTTTTCTTTTCTTTCTCTCTTTTGATATCTGCCACTGCCTTATATAAGTACACATGTCAGGCCAGTGACATAATTTTGAGACAACACTGGTGTGGTGATGCTAGTCACTTACATGTTTGTTCCCCACTGCTGTTTCATGTGTCCCATTTCCTTGTCAAAAACCAACACTGTACTGTTTTTGATGCGTCCTTTGTCTACCTCCATGTAATGGTTGTCAGCACTGAAGACCCTGCAGCAGCACAACATAGAGGAAATGTATGGGTAATGAAATAAGAAATAATGACATGTTATGAAAACATGCATTATTGTGGAGAAATGATTTATGATAGTGATTTGTTGTTGATCATTCACAAATTTGGCGAACAGAGGGCGCTCGCCTACTCACCGTTAAATTGCCAATAAGCTGGCCTGCCCAGGTGTGTGCACAAAGACTGGCATTCGGTGTCATGTAAGATAATATAGGGCCTCATTAATTATTGTTTGGTGCTTATAAAAGACTGTATCTTACATAATTTGGTAGTTAAGTATACTCTTTAAAATTACTAAGTATCTTTAGAGTGATACAAAAGCTGGTTATTCTAAGAGAAGGGAGAGGTAACCCAGACAGCGGTAAACAGGCTTCGCGGGGCAGTGCTCCGGAACTAGTGACAAACGAGAAGGATAGAAATCTGTGTCAGTCACGGGGAGAGTCGAGAGAAATGGCCTCCGAATTGGGGAAAATAGAGAGATAATTCCCCCAAATACCGCTGGAAATCATGATGAAAGATACTGTTTGCCGTGCTTAGCCTGGTGCAGGGACTGGCTGCCTCCTTCCCTTCGACTCTGAGCAACCAATGGAGACGAATGAACAAATACATGAATAAATAATCAGTGATTCTCCGGTGAAACTTAATCTCCGCTGTGTGTGTATGTCAACTCGCCCCCAACGAGACTCAAGCCCCACGGCGCTACTCCGCACTCACTACATTATGAAAAGAGGCGTCCTTGTTGTTTTCCCCAGGGTATGGGAGGGGGTATCACTGGGGTATTACTGTATTAAACACAATCAAGATGTTACTATATTTCTACTATACATGTAGTATGACTCACCCGACACCCCAGACTCTGTCTGCTCTATGAAATATAAGCACATCTCCATCCAAGCCCACAGCAACCCCTGCAACCTGCCCCAAGTTCAAGCCATCATATACAGGCCATCCATCTACCATGCTCAGGTCTGCAAATCAAGACATATCATTGCATTGTGATCAAAAGAAAATGTCAACATTTTGGGCAAGAAAACCTACTAATTATTTCCATTGCATCAAGCAAATCAACAATAGCTTGTTAAAGGCCAACTGAATAATTGGATTTCACTTAAACTAAATTCATGAACAACAGTTCTTATACTGTACAGGGCAAATCAAAAAGAAAGCGACCTGGATTAATTGTTTTTCCCCCTTAAAAAGCAATTCATAAATACCTAAGACAGTTTACCCACTCCTATTGGTCGAGAGCCCGTCATGTGGCTGGTCTTAAATGGTTGATAAAGACATGGCTGGCTGGTCTTAAACACTGTTCCAGTGTCACATTAAATTTGGACTCCTAAAAATCCAGTGGCTCTTAGCGTTTTATTGGTTGAACGCTCACAATCCTCACTTAGGCATGCACAATACTACCAGTGAGTCAGTATTTTATAGTCCTAAATTCACAACACAATGCCCCAGGTGCATTCTGCTTGACATCGCGCCAATCTCCATAGAAGGAGTTGTTTACATCTTATTCGCCAGCTGGACACTCCATTATTTAGCTAGACTGGGTGTTTAAAAAAACATGAAGTAAACTTGTTGAACAAATCGGGGTTGTTTGACCAAAAAGTTTTGATTTTTTTGACCGGGTAATTATCAGCACCCAGACTTAAAGCGATCTTGAACAGGGTGATTAAAACCTCCCAAACACACATTTATTCCCTTATTAAATTTGATACACAAATGAAACATGTATTAAAAGAATATGTTCTTCCACTAATGTGAAAAAAAAAAGAAATACTGAAATTGATCCATGCTATCACTAGCAATACATGTTTTACTAAAATATGCGATCTTTATAGCAGTCCGTGGAATGCCATTTGAAGCTATTGAGCTGATTAAGAACTGCAGATTACACGCAGCCATTCATACAAATGAGAATTTAATCATTTGAGTCAAGACTGAAACATTCAACAAGTCAACTCTTTTTTTTCCCCTGAAATATTGATGGTGTTTTTGTCTGATTTCCTTTGCAACTTTTCGTTCATTCATGCAGGTGTGAAAACGTTCATTTTTCTTGTATTTAATGGGTATTTATCAGTTTGTAGAACGGTAAATGATCAGTGGTGGACAGCTGAATTTTGTGATCTTTTTATCAAAATAGACATAACTTGGGAATAGAGTGTGCAAATTGCGTGAAATTTTCCGTTACTTGTCAATAACGTGTACTTTATCTCTATGTTATTTTTATGAAATGAAGCGAGCCACAAAGTTAAAAAAATATGTTCTCCAATTTTGTCTAAAGGATATAGGAAATAAAAACAAGCAGCATGGTGATAAAGTCAGTTTGTGCAGTTAGTAGAGTTTGCCGTTATCAATATCTATGATCTTTCCGAGTATGATTCAATTAGAATACAGTTGATTGACAATCTGCATTTTGTCATCTGGTATGAAAACAGGAAATAGTAGAATGACAAGATTGCTTCAGATTTCTCCCCCCCCCCCTCCCTCATGAATGCCACTTGACAGAACTCCCTTAACATCCACGTGATGAATCCCTGAAACACTTACTTTCAGAGGATTCCTTGTCTTTGTCTTTCTTGTCATTGCCATCAGTATTGATCTTTTCAGTTGATCTTCCCTCCTCTTCTGATGTCTTCACAATGCCAGGTTTGGTGCTTGTTTCTTCCTTTCTGTCCTTACCTCCACCCTCTGTATCTGTACCTTGGGTTTCTTGCTTGCCATGTTTGTCCAAGAATTTGTTCATGGTGTTGTACTTGTTATCATCATCATCATCATCATCATCATCATCATCTATGTTACCCCCATACCAATCATGCTTGTAATTATCGACCTCATCGTTATCATGTTGGTTTCCATAGAGGTCTGGGTTGAGGTCATAGCGATCAGGTTCCTCTTTGCCTGCATCAGTACTCACTCTAGGTGGCTTTGAGGGAGCAATGTCTGACCCTGTATACATTTATTTGAAAAACAGGACATGTAGAGAAAAAAGGACAATTTACCTGTAATACATCAGGAAATGTTATCAAGTTTTGAATCATTCTGCACTTTTTTTCTCAATAACTTCTACCCAGAACGTTAATCCTTCCTTCCACAGTTATAGCAGATATTGATTTCAAGGTACACGCATATACCTCTAACACATCTCCAAGGTATGTATTTGTTGTTTATATGCAGCTGAACAGTTTTCAAACTGGGGGGGGGGGGGGGGGGGGGGGCATCACCAAAAAGGGGCACTTTTTTTTCCCACCGTGCTGAAATGCTGACACGTTTTTTTTTCACTGGACACTTGGCCTCCGTAAAATAGTGGGGGGGGGGGGGGGGGGGGGGCTCTTCAATAACGGGCAATACGCAAAGAAATAAGCATTAGGTGCCCATTTTTAGGGTGCATTGTAAGGCTTTTGGGGGTTGGTTTTAATATTCCTCGTTCATATTTAAGAACTCTCTATACCATATTGGGAAATGGTTATTGAAAACAAATTATCCAAAATTTTAGGGCCAGTTTTATTTTCATCGCCAGGGGACCCATTTATGGCCGCTAGCTGGGCACTTAGGTAAATTGGGTGATTACTATCACATGACATGACAGTGACTAATGGACCCTTCGTGAATACACCAAAATGTGCGCAGCACTCCGGGATGGTGCACCACATTACGACACACACAAAGTATCCATAGCAGGGACAATTATCAGTTCGTCAATCGTAGGGGAATCTAGTCTTGTTCCTAGACTCATGTACATGGGTAACGCCTAAAATAACACCAAAGGCCCCAGATCATTCATACACATTCATGCGTGCACTGCGTTGTACGCTGAAGCTTTGTAATCTTTTCGTTGACAACTTTGGAGTTTGAAAGAGCAAATAGAATATATCTGAACTGAAATTTCTGATTTCTGTACCCAAAAATAAATATGTTTGGTAAAATACATTGACTTATTATATTTTTAATGTATTTAAAAAAATATTATGTGTGAGGCAGCCATACAGGCAGAAAAGCTTGAGGTAGGCTCTGAAATTTGCGAGGCGGACCGCCACATATTTGAATGGGTAGGGGAAACATTGTCTTAGATGTGTATTAAAAAAAACATAATAAAACAAAACAAAATTGACCCAGGGAGGGCTTCGTACTCCGGGTAACACAGTATTTGTGGAGATAAAACCTATATTGATGGTCAAACTACATGCCATTAGTGCTTTAGATGACCCTCACTAGAGAAAAAAAAAAAACAACAACAGACAAGTCTTTCTTTAAATGATGATGATACTGAGTGAAGTCAAACCAATGGGTCCATGGATGCAAAGAAGAAAACAGTCGGCTGATGAATAAACATGTATGTGCATTCCCCAGCAAGGTTACAGCATTTGATGGAATCGTTAGATATCCTGCACAAAATGGGAAAATACTTTGATTGTCAGTGTTGTAGTCGAGTACTTTTTCCAAGTACTGCCGAGTACTGCCGAGTACTTAGGTTTCCGAGTACGAGTACCAGTACGAGTACTCGTACTTCCGAGTACAAGTACAGGTCTCCAAGTACGAATACTTGTACTTCCGAGTATGAGTACTTGTATTCCGATTAAAAGTACGAGTATGTGTATTCCGAGTACGAGTATCAGTACGGCAAATGGTTCATGGTGCGTAGCTGGCTCAGGCCCAGTCAGATCGATATACAGACCCACTCATGGCTAGCTGTTAAATGTGTTTGTCCAGACGTGCACAGAGGAACACCAGGAAACTTTGATTTCTCTGCAAGCCAATCAACCATTTAAAATGAAAGCATCGATAAAATAAGGCCGTGGTAAGTCAAGCTATACCATTTTTTTTTCGAGTACTGCTATTCGAGTACGAGTACTTTGATAATCGAGTACAAGTACTTTGCTGCCCGAGTACAAGTACCGTCATTTTGAGTAGGAGTACTTTGACATACGAGTACGAGTACGATAAAAAAAAAAGTACATGAGAAGCACTCGAGTACAAACAAGTTGCGAACAAATTGTTACCGATCCCATCAGCTCTTGAAGCCTTCCCTAGGAGAATCGAATATCTGTTATGCTGAATATCAACAATCCATCATCAAAAAGCACAGGAATTTGTGAATGCTTGAACTTATTCCCTGAACTTTGAAGAACAATGTGCTTTACCATGGAACGTGTCATTATATTCTTGATTTTGCCTAGTTACCAGCTTCTCGGCACCATTGACTACTTTGGAAGTAAAATCCAGCCATTTCACAATAGTTCTCTTAAACACCACGATTGTATCACTGTTGTAGCTAGTCAGCCCTGTATATCGATAGTCACCCCTGTATATGTATATCCTACCTGGAGGAATGTACTGGAAGAGCTGTTGACTACCTTCCGACCAGCACATCTTGTATGTTTCTCCTTCAAAAGCATCTGTGTAGTACATCATGTAGAAGTTACACATCTCATCATGGGAACTTCCGCTGCGGGGGGAAAAAATGACACTTTTTAATTTTCAGTTTTGTTTAGTGTTTTCAAAGTGTAAACAAATGTTAGGATGGTTGACTACACTGAATGACATGTGACTGAATACACTTTCCTGATATTTGGGTAATTCCATGGTAACTCATGTCACAATTGGAGGGGGTCTTCTGTCAACCCTGTGCTGTTATTCCATACAATCAAAGCATTTAGGTTGGATTTTGTTCACAGAAGATCCCTTGTAATGAATAATAAATACATTTTTTTACTTGGCAATTAGTTACAAGTTAAAACATATATAAGGAAAACTTTAACAAAAAACCTCTTTCCCCCTAGAAAATGAATCTTTCTCTCTGCCTTAAAAACAAAGACACACAATAGCACTTGCATTTTACATGTAAAACAAAGTGGCAAAATGACTGCCTAAAATCGAAAATTTTAGAGGGAAAAAAAACCCATATAGGTTAGGCTCAGGTGCAGTTCGTGTTTGTCTCAGTTTAGAAATTTTATCCGAACGTTGGTTTTGGACGCAAATTGAAATGTTAAAATGACTTGCTGTGGGTATATACCATTTAACCCAAACGATCCCCAACCAGCCAAACTCCAACTCCAGGGTTTGTTGGGAATCTGTTAGGATCAGTACTGCACAAGTAACTGAGATGTGATTTTACAGAATGCAATGTACCGGTACACCCTCTGCTGTAGTTTTACTTTCTGTTGCCATGTGTGTGACATTTTGATCTTTCCTTACTAGCAACACTGTAGTGAACAAAAATCATTTGTATTACATCACATAAAAAACTTTTCCCCGAAAAAATTTAATTTAGTTTCAATTTCTGAGAAAACGCCCAACAGCACAAATCGCAATAGACAAAAATGTCACTAATTGGGAGCACCTCATTCATTTTAAGAATAAAAAAAATACAATTGAATATGCCCACATGGGTGGGCTAAACTACACAATCCCCGAAAATGGTGGGCCTTTATTGCAGCTGCAGCTGCAGCTGCAGCTTCACATGTACTTTGGGACTTTCCAACATGCAGTCCGAACCAACCACGATATATAACGATTCATTAACAAGGTTGACAACATGACGGGCTAGCAAATGTTTGAAACCTTCAACGGTTCTGAACAAAGTGAACACAAAGTAATTGATCGATCTGTACATAAATGCTTCATATTGCCAGTCTGGACTTGAGACCAGCCAAAATATCGAGACCAAAGGGGACCAAGACCGAGACCAAGACCGAAACCACAGCTCCTGAGACCGAGACTGGGACCGGTCTTGAGACCGAGATCGGTCTCGAGACCTACAGCACTGATCAATTACAAATTCTGAATCAGAATTGCAATTCCACTTTTTGAGGAATCGATTCTCTGATGTAGCCAGGCATGCAACTTGGAATTTAGAAAAAATGAGGAAACTCCAAACCACATAAGGCTTTGTACAGTGTTTTTCAATTTGTAATGGCTTTCATGAGAAGTTAAAAATGAGGAAATCAGAGGATCCAAGAAAAAGTTGCATGGCAATGTCCCAACTTCTGAAGCTACATCCTAACGTTCAACAGTGGCAGAGTCGTGTCGCCTCGTCATCAAAAGTTTCCAGGATCCATACGCATATATGCGTATCTCAAAACAGAAAATCATGTTTTTATTAATGAAGTGAAGTGGCTGGTACTTGGTGATCAATCTCCAATGTAGTGGTTGATCGTTTACCAGCGAACCCGGGGGTGAGTACGCTATGCATCAGAAATGAAAGCACGTGGAGAAGTTCTGTGTATTTTGATACGATTATTACGCAGCCAAATAAAGTGTTGATCATACATGAAAAAGTATATGGAACTAAGAGAAAACAACAGTATTATGCTTAGCATCCATTTCGATGGAAAATGCCAGTTTTTCAGTGTACTTTCCACATTATTTTCAAATGTTTTGGTTCAAAGCGCCGAACTTGGGTAAGCTCTGATTTTGATCTTGCGTGTTTTCCGCAGGGGAAGAATACAAAAAAAAATGTCAAAAACGGAAAATTTTATTTTGTTGTGACCCCTGCCCAAAACGTGACTTTTATATTTGCAAACAAATGACCATCTAAGAGAGCGATTACAAACCATAATGACCTTGTTATTAGTGGTTTTGGTTTTAATTTTTCTGCTTGTTTTGTTGTTCTTTGGGTGTTTTTTGGGGTGGGGGGTTGATTTATTTGATTATTATTTTTTTTTTTTGCAAAAAATTATGGAATCAATTCCTGCATGGAATCGCAATTCCCAGACGGAATCAGAATTGATTAAAAAAAATGCTGGATTCGCCCAAGCCCAACGGGGACAGCAGAAATTCTGCATAACTCGGTCCTAATTTGTCTAACAATAAAAAACTTCCCCATAACGGGGTGACAGCTACCGGTAGCCCACACATACACAAAGGACAAGGGCAGAAATATTAGTATGAACATTAATGTTGACCCCTTTCAGAAATTTGGTTAGGACCCTGCAGAATCTAAATGAATTCAACATACATGACATAACAGATATTTTCCACAATTTCACTGAGTAGCCTTTGCATATAACTTACCCAGCATATGTGATTGAGTGTCTTGACTGGGAGTTATAAGTACAGCGTGCTGCCAGGATATCTCCATCTTTGATTTCATAGATACGATCCATTGGATAGAATGCCTGCATACATGTAGATCATAAGATAACTTTAGGAATATCCATTCAAATGAGGCAAGGACACATGGCCAGGGGCAAGCTGCATGAAGCTGCTTGACAAAAATGTGTTCAGCACAGAACATTTTTCCCAAGAGGGAATAAAAAAACACCTTAAACAAAATGTCAAGTGATGTTCATGCATTTGTTATGACTAACTCTCAATTATTTTGCTGAAGGATACAACTGTTTAGAAGCTCTACAAAATGGGCCGAAGTTATGACAGCCAAAGGTCGGTTAATTACATTGTGCTGATTCACTCTCACGATCCAATTATGGCTGCATGTGTGCAAACTGTGTTCTAACCACACTGTGGAGTTATCTGGACACACTGCCAAATTCTTACTGAATGTTAGCCTTGACCAAGGCTATCAGCTTGTTCCCATACGAGCTTGTTCCCGCTACCGCACGCGCCGCGACACAATCACTAGTTGTAATATACCGTTAGCCTCAACGACCCTTGCGTGTGCTTTGTGTGCATGTACGTACGCCCCACACACACTTCCGCAAACAGCCGTACAATAAGTCGAAGCGCAAGATAGCCTTGACGCAACCGTGGCGAATTCCTTATGTGTTTCTTTATAGTTTCGACCGAAATCGGCCGAAAATTTCTGATGCGCATATATTACACGATATCCAATCAAAGCCCGTAAACTTTGACCCGCGACATACATATTCATGACCCGCAAATTACTGTATACACCACGTACATGTATGTTCGCTCAAACCGCGGTATGTCCAGGTATTTCAATCCCATTTTAAACCATTTCTCCAGTTTTATTACAAACAAATGAAACATGCCGCTATATGAGTGAACAATTGTTCAAAATGATACTATTTCCAATGTATTGCGAATTGGACAGTCCGCCGACGTTTTGTCGGTGCAACAACGTACATTATCACGCCGCTACCTGCCCGTGCTATTCTGACAGCGAATGTAGGGAACAGGTCAACTCGGACCCAGGTCAAATCATACCCATTTAATCGAATGCAGGTTAACCCGTATCTATAAGCACCCGTATGAATTAACTGCAAGAAACGAGCTATTGACTTTGGGATCGAAATATACGAAACTGTCAGGTACATGGTGAAAAAAAAACTCTCCCTGAATTCGTACCATGTGCAAATTGCATCTCATACGTACGACACATGTATTTTAACGCGTACGTATGAATCGTATATGTCGTACCTACGACGTACGTACGACATGTAAGTCGTAGATGTAAATCGCACGAGATACAAGTCGTATGACATAATCGACAAACAAGTCAAACATACGAGTTACAAATCATATTTTGTACACACGAGATATTAAGTCGTACTTATATACGACTTTGCCGTATGCGACATATATCGTACCCTGTCGACTCGACTTATATGTCGTACCGGCACCTGTCGACATTATGTCATATGTTTGATATGTCATACTCTGTCGACATATATGTCGTACCCTGTCGATGATATTAGTCGTACCCTGTCGAAATATGTCGTACCCTGTCGATATATTAGTCGTACATACGACATACAACTTATAAGTTGTTCATACAAGTTAAAATCAGTCTTACAGAATAAGTTTGCTGAAGGAGAGATATTTTTTTCCCATATCCCCTTGACAGCTTAGAAGAAATACCCCCCCCCCTAAAAAAACTAAAAGTCAGCGGTAGATATACTCAATAGTGTGAGCGTTTTTTTTGCCGCTGAACGTGAAAGCGCAGCGTGTCTTACTGCATGGCGCCAGTCAGGCCGGTGCCTACAGTGGACGGCCCAAACGTGGCCTCTGTGCATGGTGACATCGTTTTTGCCAGCGTGCGGTTTTGTACCGTTTGCCGTTTTTTGAAGGTCTAATTTTTCATCCTTTTACATTTCATTTTCGACCCAAACTATGTGTAACTTTATAAATATTATTCTACTATTATTTAAGATTTTAAGGGGGTGTTTTACAATAATTATTGTTACCACAGGCCGTCTGGTTTATAAACCTTTGGTCGTATTATGCAATGCAATAAATATTCATTTTTTTGTCAGCCGTTATCCAATGAGAGAAGACTATTTACCATAGCGCGTACTAATTATCATATTCGGCATACACGGTTGCGTCAAGGCTATCTTCCGCCTCGCCTTACTGTACGGCTGTTTGCGGAAGTGTGTGTGGGGCGTAAGTACAACATGTACATGCACACAAAGCACACGCAAGGGTCGTTGGGGCTAACGGTATAGTACAACATTGTGTCGCTGCGCGCGCGGTGTGCGGTAGCGGGAACAAGCTCATATGGGAACAAGCTGATAGCCTTGGTCAAGGCTAACTGAATGTGTGCAATGTGGTATTACGTGATCAAGTGACATTGTCACACTTCCTTAGGAAAACAAGCATGTGTTGAAACACATGCCCCACTGAGCCCATTTCAAATCTTACGACTGTGCTACACAAGTGGATTTGGCAACTTTCTGAATATGCTTAGAAAGCAATTTCCATTATCTTAACCCCAATTCAATTCAATTCAATTTATTTATTCTCATCATGTAAAAACATGAAACTTGTCTCCTCGTTCTGCACACGTACATGTATAGTGGGAAGGGGAAGGGAACAATGGCAAGCCGGGGGGGGGGGGGGGGGGATATAAGAAAGCCAGGGGGATATGAGCAGGGAGAAAGGAAACAGGGAAAGGGTTGGAGCTGATATGTACGAGGGATATAACCACACAAGTTAACATTGCGATTTAAAAAGCATTACCTATTATAAGTCTGATTAAAAACACATCATAAATTTGACCTTTGGCCTTAAACCTCCATCCCAATATTATACGGCACATAAACATAAAGACCAACCTACATACCCGTACCATATTTGAAGTTGATATGTTAAGTAATTCTGTAGGTATTCTGCTGAAATGGTTTCTACTGTTTAAACCATAACGATTTTGGCCTTCGACATATGGATCAAAATCCAATAAGCTTCTGGGGACCCCCACATCAACTCACAAACCAAGTTTGAAAATGATACCGGAATGTCGAGTAACTCTTGAGATATCCTGATGAAACTGACTGTGTCCACACGCAGCCTTACATACAAATAGTTGTGGGGAAAACCTTTGTTTCCCCTTCTTTTGTTCTCCTTTGTTTCTAATGAAATCTCAAACTCCATAGCGTTTTCCTTATGTGACACCGAAGGACAAGGCAAACAACACAACAGTATGCCTGCTGGTACAGGAAGGGAAGCACAAAGCCAACCCAAATGACGGGTAATAGGAGTGATTTGATACTGCTTTCCCTAATCAGGCTTTAATCTCTTGTATCATCTGCAAGCCAAGTGCAACGCACAAATACACACACGTAAAAATGATGTTTTTGGTGGTAAGGTGGGATCGGTTCAAAGTTTGCCAAACAGATAAACATCACTTAGAGTTATTTGTTTATTGTGCATTTTTTTATTTGAAGCAACAAAACTGAAATAATCGATTGACCCATTGAAGGGGCTACTCTACATTTTGAGAAATAAAGAAAACAGAGACACTTTGGGGGATTACGTAACTGGATTCTGTTGTTATCCTCTGTAATCAAAAAAAAAAATTGGGGTGAAAGAATGTCAGATAATATGTTGGACCCACACACATTGACACAACTCAATGAGATATCATCCACAAGGTGTTACCACAAACCTATTAACTGTAATTTATGCACACTGTATTTGAACTGTGTTTATTCACTAAAGAATCCATAAAACTATGCAGGACTCAGGTGGTTTATGGTGCAACAGTGAAACGGATTAACATACTGAACATTATAAAAGATTTGAATACCTGAGCCCACTTTGGGTTACCCTTGCCAAGTGTTGTCCATTCTCCATGACGTATGCGGTACCCACTGATGACAGTACTCATCTCATGGGCGTGTGTCCGGAACGCAAATGGGTAGATGGGAACAGGGTCAGCATATGCGCAGGCAATATCAACATGGTAATCTACAAACAATACACAATATAATGTACATCATTACAAATTCAAACGTAGGTTAAAATGCATTCAGTTGTATAGTACTTAAATGATTTCAAGCAATGTTGACAATATAACAATAAATTACTACCGCACAGTGCAGTTTAGGCTGAGCGTCCATAAAAAATTACTCGGCGCGCCGTGATCCGCTTCACTGCTCCCACTGCGCCGCACTGGCCCGCACTCCAGCTTCTCTCGGCCTGCCGATAGCACGGCGCCGTGCGGCGCAGGTGGAAAACATGAATAACAATAGGTGACACGGCTGAACGCACTTAATACACACAGCCCGCCGCAGCGCGCCGACACTGATTTCTTGCTGTATGATGCAAACAAATCACCGTCTTGCAAGGTGCAGTTTAAATACACCGACACAATAGTTGCCAGGATTATTTTGCCAGCTTCTAGTAGAACTTCCACAGACAATCTCTTATCGCCAAAGATATACATTGTATCACTTTTGGAGGAAGGCTGTAACGTTATTTTCTTTCTCGGTAGAAATATATTTTGATTATGTTCCAATTCCCAGGGTGGAATTTAATACGGTGCCGTATGCCTATGTATTAAACCGGGTATCAACCGGGAAACCTCTCAATGAATACTTTCCGCAGTCAGACTAAACGGGGACGGTTTAAAATGGGATATAAATATAAAGTCGGGCAAGGAAATTAGATCATCCGCACAAAACTACTGGGATGGTGAAAATCGATTATGAAAGTATATGGATAAACATATTTTAACGATTTTTCAATCGATGAAACGATTTCAAAGAGCTTCATTTCAAATTCATTTTACACGGTACGATTTAATATGAACCGACCAATGCACATCCTACTGATTTCTGGGCTCGATTCGCGGTGGAAACATAAACGAGACGAACTTCTCAAACTGTAAACATGACAAGGCCTAGACCCGTGAACGTGGCGGTATCCGCCGCCATGCGTACATCTCATTGAACAGCTTTCGATCGGCCAGCATCGCCGGGAATAGAATTTCCGTTTGAGACTCGAAATTTCTTTGGAATGACAGATCCTACGCAACTCAAAGTTCGCGAATAAGGTTTTGTGCGTGTATTGGTCATAAAAGTGCTTGTTAAATTTCCGGACTCAAACGAAAATTCTATTCCCGCCGATGTTTGCCGATCGAAAGCTGTTCAATACGATGTACGCGTTGCAGTGTATACCGCCACATTCACGGGTCTAGACTAGACAAGGCCAACCTGCAGTGCAGACGAAGATCGACCAGTACACACGCCGCACGCACTCACAATGTGATTGCCCAATACACGGAATGTACGCTACTGTCGGATACCAGCGTGTTCAAAAGGCACCAGAACGCTGGTGCCCTTGGTTCCTTTGTATTACACAGGCCATTTCTCACCAAGGGGAATTCCCTTTACGCATGTGCAGCAAGTTTTGTACGCAGCCCATGGCAATTGTTCCGTCGAAATTGATTTTTGTACGAGAACCGGTGCATATTTTCGTACAAACAGGAGTAAAACAATGTCTTTGAATCATCGGACATAGATTTAGCTCATATTTTGCAGAGTTTTCACTGCTATTGCGTGCTATTCGACAATATTGCATGATGGCGGCAAAGAAAACTTCTCAACTCTCGAGCAACAAGGAAGGCCCTACGTACGTACATATTAAACTACATCCCTTAGCTTATTATAAATGCATCTGAAAGATAATATCGCAATTCCCTTAAAAGGTCATGATTTTTGTTAATTTTAAATTTTCAGCCTTACATTTTTTTTTGGCGTAATAGACTTTTCTAATTTTCATTTTGATGACACCCCGCCCCCCCCCCCCAAAAAAATCAATTTACATCGGGGTTGCTATCTCATTAAATACAAGGATACCGTGACACATGTTCTTCAGTAAACATAAAGTCTGCTTTATTTTCAATAACAATAGGCCTACAAAACAATTATCTGCTTTTTCTCAAAAAAAAATATTCCGTTTATAAATTCTTTTGTCTAACTCTCATTTGAATTACAGACCCAGTGGTGCATGGCGAGGATTATTGACGGCCATAATTATTTGCACAAAATATATTTAAAATAAGTGTATACTGGCTCCATAGGAAAGTGCAAATGTTACAGTGTGACATCATCAGTACATAGGCATATTGTCGACTGGATTGGCGATAGGTGGAACTGAGATAGTTCATTGATTTTATGCACAATGTACATGTAGGCATACAGTGTCAATGATAACGGTAGATATTGCACTAAAAAATATATGATCAAACCGTATACAGACTTTAACAGATTTGAAGTGAAGCAATATACTTGACATCAGCGCTATGATAATTAGTTAGTTTATCGGTGAGCCTTTTTCCGGTGATCAGCCACGTCTTATTTACTGGTGAAGACATACTTGCACCCCTCCACCATGCAGCGTCCAAATGACTTTTGCTGGAAAAGTGGCATGTGCTGACATGGGGGATCTCGACGGCGCTGGAGGGCCTCTATGAATGTTAGGAAATGGCCTGGGTGGTCCCTTGAGGGAATTGGCGTGGGGAAAGTGCGCGCACACTGCAGCATATCATCGTTAACTGGGGGGTTGGATGAGCAGTGTTGACACTCTGGATCGGCACATTTAGCAAAAATCGCCATGCCAATGCGCCGATCCATGTGTCTGATGACGAACTTGTATTCATCGAACACTGCCCTGTCCTCCCTCAGCCTAGTTGCAGATGATGATACTGCAGTGTGTACGCGCTCGAAGTCGTCGTAGGGAGCATCGCTTGAGCAGCTTGGGGTTGATATAGTGGTGACTGGATGTCCAGCGTAGGACAGGTCTTTCCAATAGTGCTTCACCCGGTCCATGGCTGTATTGAAGACGTCCTGGTCTTTCTCCCATCTCTCTTCTGGGTTGAGGTCGGTCTGCCGGGCTGGCGGTAGTTCCCCAGGGAGAGCTGCAGGTACCGACGTCGACGTCAACGCTCGGGTGCACGGGGCCCACAGCCGCTCCACTGGGTGAAGTGCTGAGTGGCCGGGACAGTAGGAGGTTACAATTAGGGCGTCCAGCTTGCACTGTTTGAAGAGGCGGCCATAGTACATTTCGTTAACCACATGGTTAACATTATAATCCGGGCCGCCATCTGCAATCAGTACAAGCAATGAACGCCCCTTTGCTACCTCTTCTTCGACCTTCAGGTGGTTCAGGATGTCATTGGCGTGGGTCGACACATGGCACGGGTTTTGTGGACTCCTGTTTACTACTGTGGCCTTCCATCTTTTGGGCAGCCTGAGAAGTGGAAAAATATATATATATATATATATTGACTATATTGTTGATGTGCCTGGCGCAGTCCCTTGATTTTTAGCCTTTAGTGCTGTGCTAAAGCAGGTTTAACCATTCTATTTTGGCATCATTTTCTGATATTTTTCGATGTGCACAATGAACTTTGCGCCCCAGAATAAGAAAATTATATGAATGGATTTTATAATGATTTATTACAATAAATTTATCAACTTGAAGGAAATTCTAATTATATTATTCTTCGTTAATAATTACTTTCCCTTCGTTTTAAATAAATTAACTGAAATTTATAGCCAACTCACTCATAGTGGTCTCGCCCAAGGTCGTCTTTGGTCAGCGAAGATGGACGGACTGATGTAACCATCTGGAGGTAGCCGCAGGGGACGATGTAGTAACCTGGCGTTGGGAAGTCGTGGTCGGCCAGGTTGGGGGAATCCTCTACCGGGAAGAATCTGTTTATTTGGATGCGCCGGCTCACTGCAGCCACCTGGTCGCCGAGGAGAATCTTATTCTTGTTATCCACAGAGAAGACAAGAGCAGATTCACCGAACATGGAGGCAAACTCCATCACGTATCTCACCCGTGCCGAGTAGAAGTGGCTGTTCGAATTCTCCTTTCGGATGGAATTTTCCTTGGCGGGGACCCGTGCGTCGATGAACCCCTTGTAACGCTTGGAACTCCGGTAGTTCTTGTGTGGGGGCTGCATCCAACGAGCGACAGTGCGATCTCCTGTTATTTGACAAAAATAAAATGTGGTACTTGATAACAATAAAAAATGTGTATTATGATGGGGAAAATGTAAGGCGAAGTAAAAAAAAAAACATGTTTAGCGTCCCCGCCCGCTTCCTTTTTAGAGGCCGCCTCCTTTTTTTTTTTTTTTTTTTTTTTTTTTTAAAAGACAAAAATTGATAAATTTTAACGATTTCTGCGCAGAAAAGATGTTCGGTTCTGCATAGTTACATCATTTTGGTCTCATTTTCTGTTGCATCTTGCCCATAAGAAGCCAATATGTCATTTTCTTGAGTCCAAGTGGCGGCCATTTTGAAAAAAGCTGGTAACCATCTTGAAAAATAGCCCAGCCGCGTTGTCTTGAAAAATGTGTCGGGCGGCCATTTTGAAAAAAAAAAAAAAAAAAAAAGGGCCTCCTCCTTCCTTTTTGTCAAAGAGGCAGGACGCTAAACATGTTGTTTTTTTTATTTTGCCTAAGATGACTAAATTGAAGTTGTTATAGGGCCTACAGACTCGTCATGCTCGGTTTTGAAAGATATGAATGTAGAAGTTTTGCGTCGAAAGCAACGAACTCAAACTCAAACTTTCTTCTTCTAAAATATGCAGTCGGAACCAAGGGTAAATTTATAGTAAATATTCACCCGGCCAGGGGGTAGAGAGCGACAAGGAAGCATTACCGGCAAGGGTTGTTAAAAAAAACATTAAGTATTATTTATAAAAACATCGAAATCGTACCTAGATTTGGCCGTTTTTCCTTTAACTCCGGGACAGCGTGGAACAGGTGTTCTTTAATCTGGGATATGGTTGAGCCACATGTTCCGACCTCCTCTTGACGCCGCTTGTGAGCGCGGAACCCGTTGCCCTCAACAAAATTACGAGCTGTTTCCACGATTGTGGGGAATGTCTCAGCGACAGATGGACGTCCCCGACAACGAGTACTCTGGTCCTTGGCATCACGTTTCGCCACAGTT